ATCAATGGAGTTTGTTGTTATTGCTATAGATACATATGACATTTTCCGAACATCCGTGCGCTTTACTTCTACCAGCACTTCTAGTGGCATAAAGGTGGAGATATTGTGTCTCTTTGCTGAGAACTACCAAGTTGTTTGATCATAGTTGTAATATTTATGGACACCCATCTTCATCTTTTTTCTTTCTTCTGCTTGATCATAGTTATAATATTTATGGACATCCATCTTTTTTCTTTCTTCTGCTTATTTTTTTGTTTCATTTGACAAAATGTTACATTTTGCTTGGTAATTGGTATGCGGTCTTTGTGTTGAAGTTGTGATAGATTTTTCTTGTGAGTTAGTTTGATTTGCGATGTAATATTTAGTTTACATCTCAAGTACCAAAATGGAATATGTTTGTCGACTCCTCATAAAATTACCTATCTGCAATTCATAGTCAAGTGTTTATATCTTATATGTGCATTTATTTGATGACGAAACACCATTGGAGATTGTTTTGGGAGTAAATGTGAGATCTTTTTGGACAGAAAAAGAATCTGTAGACCGAGTCTCTCTATATATTTGTGTGAGAGAGAGATCGGTTCACGAGAGGACAACTATTTTGGGGACTACATTGATGCAGCTTTGTTGAATAGATCCATATCCATTTTATGTGATTTGGTGTCCCAAATGACTTGTGATACTTATTCAGAAGTGGAAAATTTGAGTTCGGCTTACAAAATCCGTTACTTGGCCGCCTCTCGTCCTAGGGTGTGGTATGTAGAGAAATCACGATTACTAAAACGATACCAGTTTTGACAGAAATAATACCCTTTTTTTCTTCTGCGTAGTACTTATTTTTAATCAAATAGTATCTACTTTTGGTCAACGAAACTGGATTACTTCAATTTTGATCAGTATTTACAAAAATTGGTACCAGACTTAGAGTAAGATAATACCATCTTTTAATGTTTCAGTACAACTCCAACGAACATAAAAAAAAAAATACTGAATTTCGGTCTTCAATGATGTTTACATGACCAATAATCACTCTCGCATTAGTTTCTATGAGATTTATAATGTGTTTAATTAAGTTTAATCGCGTCACGAACTCAACAAACACATGAAAAAACACTATTAATACACTTCATCTAATTGAATGATCATACATGACATGTAGATATGAGGGTTAAAGAAATCATGATTAGTAAAATGGTACCAGTTTTAACAGAAATAGTACCGCCTTTTCTTCTGCGTGGTACCTGTTTTTAATCAGTTAGTACCTACTTTTGGTCAATGAAAATATATTACTTCAATTGTGGTCAGCATATGCAAAAACTGGTACCAAACCAAGAGTAAAATAATACCAACTTTATGGTGTTTCAATGCCAGATATCGAGTGTTCAGTACCAACTCCGACGAAAATAAAAAACACCGAATTCGATCCTAGATGATGTTTATATGACTCATTATCACTCTCACATTAGTTTATATGAGATTGAAAATGTGTTTAATTAAGTTTAATCACAAAATTGTCACGAACTCAACACATTAATAAAAAACACTACTAATACACTTCATCTCATTAAAAGACACACTTCGTCAATCTCATTGAATGATCATACATGACTACTCGAAATTCTACCTAAATGTTTCAACTTCCACTATTTCTCAACCAAATCACGCGTGAATGATCCACGTGGCATGGTAGACATATAGGATTAAAAAAATCACGATTAATAAAATGGTACCAATTTTGACAGAAATAGTACCGCTTCTTTTTCTGCGTAGTACCTGATTTTAATCATTTAGTACCGATTTTTGGTCAACGAAAATGGATTACTTTAATTTTGGTCGATAATTGAAAAAACTGGTACCAGACCTAGAGTGAGATAGTACCAGCTTTTAGTGTTTTAGTACCACATATCGGATCTTCAGTACCAACTCCAACGAACATAAAAAAACATCGAATTTCGGTCTCAGGTGATGTTTACATGACCAATAATCACTCTCACACTAGTTTATATGAGATTAAAAATGTGTTTAATTAAGTTTAAATGCAAATTGGTCACGAACTCAACACACTAATAAAAAAACACTATCAATACACTTCATCTCATTAAATACACACTTCATCTCATAAAATCATCATACATGACTACTCTAAATTCTACCTATATGTTTTAACTACCACTATTTTTCTTCCAAATCACGCGTGAACGATTCACGTGTCATGGTAGACATGAAGGATTAGAGAAATCACGATTCTTAAAATAGTACATGTTTTAGACAATATAGTACCTCATATTTTTCTGTGTGGTACCTATTTTTGATCGATTAGTACCTACTTTTGAGAACGAAAATGGATTGTTTCAATTTTGGTCAACATTTACATAAAGTAGTACCAAGCCTAAAGTAAGATAGTACCAGTTTTGTATTGTGTTAGTACCGGATATTGGGTCATCAATACCGCTTGTAACGAATTTATAAAAACACTGAATTGTGGTCTGAAATTATATTTATATGACTATCATATTAGTTTATATGAGATTTAAAATGTTTTAGTTGAGTTTAATCGCAAATTGGTCATGAACTAGACACACTAATGAGAAAACACTACTAATACACTCCATTTAATTAAATGACACATTTCATCTCATAAAATCATCATATACGAATACTCCAACTTCTACCTATATGTTTTAACTTCCACTATTTTTTATATAAATCATGCGTGAACGATCCACGTGTCATGGTAGACATGAAGGATTAGAGAAATCACGATTTTTAAAATACTACTTGTTTTAGCAAAAATAGTACCGCATGTTCTTCTATGTGATACCTACTTTTGATCGATTAGTACCTACTTTTGTGAAGAAAAATTGCATATTTCAATTGTGGTCAACATTTACAAAAAGTAGTACCAGTCAAATTGAACGACAGTACCACTATTCGGCGTGTTAGTACCAGATATGTTGTCTCTAGTACCACTTGTAATGAACACATAAAAAGACCGAATTTCGGTCGCAAATGATGTTTATACGACCAATAATAACTCTCGCATTAGTTTATATAAGATTTTAAATATTTTTTATTGAGT